GGGATTTAAATAAGTGGGAACAGGGGGTTTGGTTTTGGGGGGGGGGGGGTCTGGGAATTAAATTACAAAGAGTCGGAAATCAAATCTGGTTAGTTAATGTTCATTTTGATTTTTGAAGAACTGCTTTCAGAAGGCAGATTCATGTTCTTATTTGAGCCTTGTAATTTAATGAACTACCCTGTATCTCTGTATCTTTTATTTAGCTAAAGCCTAAAAGTTATTTATATTTTGTCATCATATATTTTGTTTTAACAGATAAAGGCTGTTCTTGATGTTGCTTCGAAAGTCAAGCGTATAATTCTGCTATCAGGGACACCTTCTCTGTCAAGGTTGTAGCATAGATCACAGCAAACCAGCTGTGTATGCAAAATTTTATTTTGATATTTTGGTTTCAACTCCATATTTCTTAACTTTCTGTTATTTGTTGTAATTTGGGTCCTCTGTTCATTTTTTTTAATTATTTTAACACTTGCGTTTTCTTATATCTTATGGTGCATTTCTACCTAGGTGCTCATAGACCGTACGACATATATAACCAGATAAATATGTTATGGCAAGTATATTCTCATTGAGCATCTTCCATATTTAAATTTTCTTTTTACGAAGCCTCTTAATTGAGTTGTCTGCAAAATGCTTCTATTTACAGGCCTGGTTTGCTGGGAAAGACTAAATACGAATTTGCAAAAACTTATTGCGATTTGAAATATATGAAAGGCATCCAAGGAAAATATTTTGCGGTAATCCTGTTATAAAAACACTTCATATCCTTTCTGTGAATGTGTGAATTTGGAATGTATGTATTTGTGTATTTGATTAATCATTATGAGTATCTTCTAGCTGTTGATTAAAAAAAGGAGTATCTTCTAGCTGCCAAGTAGTTATTTCTTACAACAAGAGCATTACCTTCTGTATGATGTATTTCAGCATGATCACCTGTGTTATTCCCATACCTTGGTTGGTAACTTGGTTGGATAATGAAAATGTTATAGAAGTGTTATGTTCTCTATATTAGAAATAAAAAAAGGGAAAGAAAAACTAATTCAAAGGTCTTAGATTGTTTAGATTCTGTGATTGGAGCATTCAATTGCTTCTTTTTCTGTTTTGACCTCTTGAAAGTGTTGTTTAATACCCATCATTGACATAAAAAAGGTTATCATCTTTATAGTCTTTAGTTACTCGTGATGAGGGAAATTGATGAAATTTATATATTTCCGGGTTGATATTTCTTTTTGGGTAGTAATTTGTTAAGAAATTGACAACTGATGGAATTGTGCTGCAGGATTATTCAAAGGGTGTGCGCTTGGAAGAGTTAAACGTGCTATTAAAGCAAACTGTTATGGTGAGATCTCATCCTTATATTAATCATCTTATAGTATTTTACTTTTCATATTTTTTTTCTTGGACTGTTGTCATCAATTACTTCTCTAGAAGCATTCTTCTGTTTTGTCATCAGCTCTTCAAATGGCTAGCCTGGCATTTTGATGCAATGAGAGCAATTTTTTCCTGAAATTTGTGCAGCAGCAGCTTACTAGACTCTGATGAAAATATGATCTGATTGTTCTTTCTTTTATTTAGCCAACCCCACGTAGCAGTATAGGGCTTGATTGTTTTAATTGAGGATGTGATTATTACTCAATGTTTATATCCTTTTTTAGTGTATAAAAAAACCCTTGGAAACATTATTATTTTTAAATAACTTTATTTTGGGTTCACAACTTCACATTAGTATTCCGAGGAGTTTATAACAGAATAGTATAAATTATAAATCTAACTCAACCCTACAAAACAAAATTATAAGGTGAGAATTATCATTTATTTATATACTCTTTAATTATCTTATTTCTAGTCGATGTATAGGACTTAAATTTTTTCAAATAAATAATTATCGTTAATAGTAAATTTTGGTATATGTAAACACATTTTTAGTGATCATTATATATTAGTCATTGATATTTTTATTGAATAATAAAATAAAGGTAATTAATTTATTGTCACTAACAATGACGGATCCAAAAATTTTAAATAGTGGGGCAATATTTATTCGTATATTTGTAGTCGGTGATGGATCCAGAAATTTTAGATAGTTGGGACAATATTTATTCATATATTTGTAGTATTAAAAATTTTACATATAATTTTTAAAAATATAAATATATCATAATTATTTTTTACAAGGTTTTATATTGATGATTATAATTAAAAATAAAAATAATTAGATCCAACTAGATTATATTATAATTTATTTGCCGTAAATATTTTTTCAAATATTTGGTTAGAATTATAATCCTAAAGACCTACTTTAAAATAATTTAACACTAATAAAAATATAAAAATAAATGTTAAATTTTATAAAAACCAAGTTTAATTTATTTATGATATAAACATGTTTTTAATATCTAATATATATTTTTAGATGATAATTTATTTTAAAATATAATTTATAATAAAAA